GTCTGATGAGTGTGGTGCCGGTGGCCTAATTTAAGTCCCTTTCTTATTACCACCCTTTTCTTATAAGGACAGGTTGGGAAGGGGAAGTGGATTTAACAGTGGAGGAGATGCATAGGAAGGCGAAATATCCTCTTTATGTGCGTCTCCTCCTCTGTCGTATAAGGTTAGGCAACGCATCTCCAATTGCGGATGTCTATGTGCAGCGGTCGCTTCGCCATTTTGACGATTTCAGGTGGCCGCTTGCTCGTTTGCCACCTTATGTTTAAGTTTTCTTAAACTTAAAAAAAAACGTTTTAAGAAAACATCCTTCCAGAAGTCGCATAAATCGAACATACTATGGTAAAGCGCGTCGCGTCTGAAGGTGCCAATAAAATTGACGTCATTAAAAAACCTTCCTGAAATTGCATGCTGTTAAAAATGTTAAAACAGATATTCCTGTTATCTTAAGACTTATGTTAATGAAGATTGCAAAATAAATCTGATACAAACGTAATTACCAGTTATCACGGTCATTTAATCTCCTTGCGGTTTCCTTCCTCGCCGATTGTCTTATCAGTGTGGTTTTGTTGGTGTTTTTAATGGCTCGTATGGAATCATTTAAAATACCGGGTCATCACAAATGGCTTCACTATATCTACACGTACATAAAAGCTTTTACAAAACTTCATCGCTTATTTTACAAATAATAAAGGTTTAATCCATTCCACACTCCATAATAAAATACCTGTACAACATTCTTTTTATATTGCTAACTAGCTGTTCCCGTTCGACTTCATCCGCATAAAACTATAAAAAAATCATGTTATTGTTCACATTTGTCAAATTATTAATTGCAAATGTCAAAATGACATGACATGATGTCAAACCATGGTAACCTTGCTTGCTTGATGTTGGCAACAACTTATGGTCTCTTTCCCACATTACGTTTTTTATCCAAAATATTTAACCCCTAAGTTTAATGGCGTTAAAATATATAGTCTAATGCGTGACGCAAGTGTAGGGCTTTTTATTAAAAAAAGAATTATTCAAAAATATGGTGTAATTGCTGACATGTTAGGCAACAAAGAAGTGTGTGTTTACGCTTTATTATAATAAGTATAGATGGTCACAAGTGTATATAGAAGAACACTACTCGATCTTTAGTTGTGTAACAACTACCGATATGTAATTGTCGATTGTTTCGCAGACAACTGTTTAGTTGCACAACTAAACATCGAGCAGTGTACCTACAAGCTCATAGAAATCAGAGCGAGACTAAACAGTTGTGTGATAGTTTTGTAAATGTGCGCGGTTTAAATTACAATGTGACAATGTGCAGATTATTTTATAATAAGGGAGGAGCTTTAATAATATTACGAGCTGTTGCCCGCAACTTCGTCCGCGTGGTATTAAAAAACATACGAACTATATAAATAACAAAAAGCTACTTTTCCCTCGGGAACCAAACATTTCTCTGGGAAGAACCTTGTGTACTCCAGACTTTGTTTTATATCTGTGACAAATTTCAATAAGATATGTTGTTGCAGAATGATCGAGTAAACATTAAAAAACTAAATTAATGAATCCCACGGGAACCGCAACTATTCCCGGGATAAAAAGTAGCCTATGTGTTCTTCCAGACTATGCTCTAAACTTGTGCCAAATTTCATGGTGATCCGTCTAGCTAGTTTAGGCTACAAACGCTAACAAACATCTATACATCCATCGTAACTTTTGCATTTATAATATAAGTATGATATATGATAGCGAGGAGCTTTTTATAATTTTGTAAAATGTTTTGTAGCATGTCGTATTGACAGGACATTGTAAGGACATGAGGTCTTCGATTAAAAATATTTTGTTCTTAGTGTATAAAATGCATTAGTGTCATCTATTTTCAATTACCACGGAATACCAGCACATGTACTGAATGGTTCCAAATCTTACTATTATTCATCATCCACTTGCCCTTATCCCTTTTGGAGGGTCGGCACAGTATGTGCTGCTCCATACATCTCTATCAGCCGTCATATCTGAATCCACTCCTTTCTTAAGCATATCCTCTTTCACACCATCCATACTTTCTTCGGTCTTCCTCTTTTTTTTTTATAACATAAGGTGGCAAACGAGCAAGCGGCCACCGGAATCCACCGAAATGGAAAGCGACCGCTGCTCATAGACATTTGCAATTACAGATACGTTGCCTACCCTTAATTGTCGGAGGAGACGCACATTAAAAGGACATTTACCCTTCCCATGCGTCTCCTCCACCGTCAAATCCACTTTTCCTTCCCATCCTTTCTCTTAAGAAAAGGGTGGAAAGGGAAAGGGACTAAAATTAGGCCTCCGGCACCACACTCATCAGACGAAACGCGGAATTACTTCCACTTCACGCCTGTTTTCTTTGTGGTCGTGGTATTACACCGGGCGAGCCGGCCAATTTGTGCGAAGATGTTAAAGCGGGCACTACCACTGAACCTTCCTCTTCCTATGTAGCTCACATTAATTCTTAACACTTTTTGGTTTATGTCCCCCTCCTCTCGCATAACATGTCCATACCACGCTAACCTTTTACTTCTCAATTTCTCCACCACTGGCGCTACTTTCAAACTTCCTCTAATATAATCAAATCTTACTAATATCATAAATGTGAAAGTTTAGATGGATGTTTGCTAGAGTTTGTAGATTTAACTGCTGAACGGATCTCCATGAAATTTGGCACAGACGTAGAGGATAGTCTTAGGCATAGGCTACTCACTTTTTTAATTCCACTCGGACAGAGTCGCGGTCGAAAGCTAGTAAATAAAAAAATATTAAATGATTGTTTAGACAGGAAATGCAGGTATTTAAAAATAGATATGTAATCTATTAAACATACGTCAAATTGTAATCCATGATGACACTATCACTCCTTTATCTATTTTCTATACATATAATAAAATTAGAGTGTCTGTTTGTAATGTTATCAGATTTCAGGAAGAAGTATTTGCGTTGCCGATAACGAAAATCGCATTTAAAATGTTCCTTGTCTGTCTGTCCGCAAGCCGCATTTGTTCGGGGAAATCTCCGAAACGGCTGGACCGATCACAGAAGGGTAGTTGACATAGGCGGGCTTTTTATAGGCTACTTTTTTTCGACTCCGTCCATGTGGTATTAAAAAAACAAAATCAAGTAGTCTACGTGTTCTTCCAGTCTATCCTCTACATCTATACTAAATTTAATCGAGATCCGTTAAGCCGTTAAGTCTACTAATTCTAACAAACATCCATCCATCTAAATTTTCATATTTATAATATTAAGTATGATTGCGTGGACGATGTCGCGGGCAACAGCTAGTGACAAACGTAGTCATTTAAGACTGATAACCGCATGAATATAAATGTTAGAATATCACTACAAGTTATAATAAGTCTTCTGTCGCGTGACGCGCCCCGTGCGTGCGTTTTGCAAATGCGTTTATTAACAGCAACCTAAACAACGAGAAGAAACACACAGAAAGATTTCCCTTACCTATGCGCCCCTTCCGTTTTAAATATATTCTCCTGCCTAATCTTTTGTCTAGTCGCAATTCCATTGTTCCACTTCAGGAAAAATTGGCTTCAACAAACTAAAGTAATACCCCGCTTTACGCGAGGGATACGTTCCCGAAAAATCGCGTTATCTGAAATTCGCGTATATCGAAGTTTCACACTTCACAGTTCAGAGTATACGTTGCTTCCTAGGCTAATCACTTTTGTTTTGTTTTTTTGTAATTTCACGCAGACAAAAGCTAAAAAGTAAATAAATTTAAATCGACTTGGGAGATGAAAATATAAAATTTATAACAACAATGGATAACTCTAAGCTAAACAAGTATATCTTTATTTTCACTAAAAAACACGGAATGAACTGTAATAAATAGTAATTTGTAAATAGTGACATCTCTTGGCCATTCTTGAAAACACAACTCATTTTGTGTAACAGCGTTCAAAAAGCCACATCTGTTTTATAATTTGAGCAATATTATATGTAAAGCGACATCTTACGAAAAATGATGAAACTACTTCGATGTTTTAAATAGTAACAATTACCATAACTAGATGTCGCTAGAGGTCGATATTATTCAATAGGATTTGATTCGAATGTCTGGAATTGGGGATAGGGAAGGGAGGGAATAAATGCCTACATCCGCTTAGTACTAATAAGTTATATTATCTGTGCTCCTACCAATCTGTTGAACAAAAAATGATTGATGCGTTCTTAAAATTGAATACGCTAAACAAATAATCTTGATAATATTATAAAGAGTAAAGATTTGTATTTTTGTATGTATTGAAATAACTCGAGACTAGGCCGATTTAAAAAATTCTTTCACCATTAGAAATGTAATTTATCTGTGAGTAACATAGGCTATAACTTAATTTCGACGAAGTCACACTAACAGCTAATACAAGTGGTTGGAGTTTTTTAAGCCTAATCAAAAAATATAACATCGAATGAACACTAAAAAGCAGGTTAACAACAATGAAATTCAATCGATATTACCTAATCTCGACACATTATCATAATTACGATAATTAAAACTAAATTATCAACGGAACCAGAATCCAGGATTAGGAGGTTATCTTGAAATATCGCTTTAATCTGAAATATAAGAATATTTATTAGTATAAAAGGTAATTACGATTTGATTGGGCGAGATAATTGTAAGAATGAAATTCCTGACTGCGTGTTTGCTGCTGGCTGTGAGCCTGGGGGCTGAGGGTGCGAGGGAGAAGGTGCTTCTGCACTACCACGAGAATGTCGGCATCCAACGCGCGGCGGAGATCAAGCAAGCCGAGCTGGCGGCTGACTTCGACGGCAGCAGGATTGTTGGCGGCTCAGCTGCAGCGCTCGGGCAATACCCTTACATGGTATGTACTCTTAGAGAGGGATGACCGAAATTTAGTTACAGCAACAGTGATATAGCCCGCTTCAACATCTTCGCACTGTTAGACTCGCCCCCAATTCTACAACCACATAGAAGACAGACGTCAAGTGGAAGCAATTCCGCGTACAGTCTGATGAGTGTGCGGGAGGCCTAATTTTAATCCCTTTCCTTTCCTACCATCTTATACGGAATGGATGAAAAGGGAAAGAGTATTCGACGGTGGAGGAGACATGTCTTATTTATATACGTCTCCTTCTTCGTTGATTAAGGGTAGGCAACGCATTTGCAATTGTAGATATCTATGGGCAGCGATCGCTTCACTTTCTCGGCGAATTCAGGTCGCACGCTCGTTTGCCGCCTTATAATATAAAAAAATCATCCGAAACATCGCTTATTAATAATCTTCCTGTTATCTCGTAGGGTGGTCTAGTCATCACGCTAACCAACGGCCTCACGTCAGTATGCGGCTCTACTTTGATCTCCAACACACGGCTGGTGACCGCCGCCCACTGCTGGTGGGATGGCCGCAACCAGGCGAGACAGTTCACCGTCGTGCTCGGTTCCATCCGGCTGTTCTTCGGAGGCACTCGCATCAACACCAACAGAGTAGAGATGCACGGAAGCTGGACCCCGGCCACCGTCAACAACGATATTGCTATTATAACCATCAATTCAGTCAGCTTCAATAGTGAGTTGATATAGACTTATTCAGCTAACAATGTTACAAAAATGTTGTGCAGATTGACGTAGTTTAAATATCAAAGAACAATTACTAGCAGTTGCTCGCGACTCCGACTTACATAAATAACCTTTCCAACAATGATAGAATTTTCAAAATTGGCCCAATAGTGTTTGAGTTATTTCAATACATACAAAAATCTATCTTCTTTATACACATACTAATGTTACAAATGCGAAAGTTTAGATGGATGGATGTTTCATAGAGTTTGTAGCCTAAACAGCTTAACGGATTTTGATGGAATTTGGTATAGATGTAGAGGATAGTCTGGAAGAACACATAGGCTACTCACTTTTGTTTTTTTTAATCCACGCGGACGGAGTCGCTGGCAAAAGCTATTGTAATACTAATATAGCCTATATATACTAGATTTCGCCTGTGACTCCGTCCGCCAAAAAACACAACACTTTTCATCGAAATCTGCTCAATAGCTTAGACTACAAACTCTAACATCCATCCATCCAAACTATCGCATTAATATAATAATATGGGCGGTTTTTTCAGACAACATCAGGAGCATCGCGCTGGCATCTGGTAGCGCCGACTTCGCCGGCCAGTGGGCGCAGGCTGCCGGTTTCGGAGCCACAAGAGACGGTCAGACTACCAACTTCTTTAAACCTTTTAACTTCTTTTACTTATACTTAGGACTTAAATAGACTTATACTAATAACACGCACTTAATTTAATCAGTGGTAGAGCCTGCTTTAACATCTTCGCACTGCAGGGCTCGCCCGGTGTAACACCACGACCACACAGAAAACAGGCGTGAAGTGGAAGCTATTCCGCGTTTCGTCTGATGAGTGTGGTGCCGGAGGTCTAATTTTAGTCCCTCTTCCTTCCCATCTTTTCTTAAAAGGAAAGGATGGGAAAGAAAAGTGAATTTTACGGTGGAGGAGACGCATAGGAAAATGCCCTCTTTATGTGCGTCTCCTCCGTCAATGAAGGGAAGGCATCGCATCTGCAATTGCGGATGTCTATGGGCAGAGGTTGCTCTCCATTTTGATGGATTCAGGTGGCCGCTTGCTCGTTTGCCACCTTATATTATTAAAAAAAAATTAAACCCAAGTAAATTAATGTTAAGAGCCTGTCTCACCACTGGCTGATAGATGCTCAGATAGCTTAAATGACCTGACTGTCAGATAAAGTAACCAAATCCGAGATTTCTATCACATATTTTACACGTTTGATATATATCAGACAATTTGGTGGGACAGGTCGTAAATCTTTATCTCTTTAGAAAGTTCGTTATTTGTTTTGCTAGAAGATTTTTCAAAATGAAATTAATCCAAGCAGAGACGAGTTATACCTGCTTGGCTGATTACATCGTTAGCTGATTTTATCATATCAACAATAGCTTTTTAGTCTGCGTAAAATATAAAATTAATAAAAAACAAATGAAAAAATATAGTCTATGTTACTCACAGATAAAATATCTTTCTAACGGTGAAGGACTTTTAAAATCTGCCCAATAGTTTTTGAACCTATTCATTACAATCAAAGATTTTTTATAATAATACTAGCTGTTTATATGCGGTTTCATCAGCGGGAAATTTAAAAAAAATAATTTATTGTTTTTTTTTTCAAATTCTCAATTGCAAATGTCATAATTACCGTTACCATAATAACCTTGCTTCCTTAATGTTGGCAGCAACTTATGGTCTCTTTCCCACATTAAGGTTTTTATGCAAAATATTTACCCCCTAAGTTTAATAGCGTAAAATATGTAGCCTAAAGCGTGACGCAAGTGTAGGGCTTTTTATTAAAAAAGATTTATTTAAAAATATGGTGTAATTGCTGACATCTTAGGCAACAAAGGAGTGTGTGTTTACGCTTTATTATAATAGTATAGATTTACATTATAACTAAAGTATACTGTGTGCTGACGTGATGTGTGTTGTAGGAGGTAGCGTGGGTATCACCCAGACGTTGTCGCACGCTCGGGTCCAGGTCATCACGAACGCGGCCTGCCAGCAGGTGTACGGCCCACAGGTCATCATTGCCTCAACCCTCTGTATCAGCGGTGCTGGCGGCGTCAGCACCTGCCATGGAGACTCCGGCGGCCCCCTCGTCATCAACAACCAGCTGGTTAGTAGCACACAGAAATCAGATTACGTGGATATTGAAGCTAAGAGCTATTCATCATTCTTTCATCACCAGCTCACTATATGTCGCCACTGAGGGGCTCGGAGCCTACCCTAAGTTGACTAGGCCATAGTCCACCTGCACTGCGACTTCACAAATACCTTTGAATTTCTTTGCAAATATATTGCATTATGATATTTACCTTCGCCGTAAGAACGTCGGGTAACTTACTTACATACTAAATTTCGCCCGTGACTTCGTCTGCGTGGAATTAAGAAAAAAAAGTAGCCTACGTGTCCTTCAAGACTATCCCTTACATCTATACCAAATTTAATTGAAATCCGTTCAGCAGTTTAGGCTACAAACTCTAACAAACATCCATCTAAACTTTCGCATTTATAATATTAGTGTGATAAAATTCGAAAAATCAAAAATCACATTGGTACAGCGAGATTCAAACTTAGGTCCTGTGGAGTCGTGTTCAAACCCATGAGCCACCAACGATAGACTATTAGTACTATAGATAGTTTGATAAATGACGCATATGAAGTATGAAATTAACTTTGTATGAAGGTAAATGTTGTACTTAATAGACAGGTATCGTAGTGACGAAACACGCAGCTAACAATTATGAATTATCGATATTTGGTTCAAATTAAATTTATCGAACTTAACTAAAGTTATTATTTTCTTGTTAACTAATTTAGAGGACAATTCTAGTATTGATTATAGTGTAGAGAATTTAGCGATGACAGAAATAATAGCGAAATCCAATTCGATAACGTACGGCTGTAGTAGTAATAAATATTTATTTACTCTCATTATTTGTAATGGTTCTGCAGGCCATTATTAATTTGAGAAAACAGTGTTTTTTTTTTTATTAATTCATAATAATAACTATAAATCTATCAATTCCAACTTCTATAAGAAAAGATTCATGACTGATTTTACACAACGCATCCCTACTAAATTGTCAAACTAATCTATCTTATTTTGACAGACTTTAGCTCTTTGTTGCATGCATTGACACTGCACAATTCAATTCATGACGTCTCTGTTTCAGGTTGGTGTGACGTCATTCGGCTCCGACACCGGCTGCCAGCGCAATCTGCCCGCCGGCTTCGCTCGCGTCACCTCCTTCAACTCCTGGATCCGCGCCCGCATGTAAACGAATTTGGTTCTTAATTGTAACAAATAAAGTCCGTTTTTCTATAGCAAGCGATTTTATTTCATACCACAAGTGATATCGTTTATCCCATAGTGATTTTTTATAATTTTAGTATATCTATACTATTATAATAAAGCGTAAACACACATTTCAATTGTTGCCTAAGATGTCAGCAATTACAGCATATTTTTGAATAGTTCTTTTTTTAATAAAAAGCCCTACACTTACATCACGCTTTAGGCTATATATTTTAAGCCATTAAACTCAGGGGGTAAATATTTTGGATAAAAACCCTAATGTGGGAAAGAGACCATAAATTGTTGCCAACATTAAGAAAGCAAGACTGCCGAGGTTTGTCATGTCATGTCATTTTGACTTTTACTATTGATAATCTGTCAAATGTAAACAATGAAATAAAATTTTCACAATTTCATGAGAGAAGTTGCACGGGAACAGCTAGTAGTTTAATAAAACTAGAAAGAGATAACAATAGTATACTCTTTCTAGAAATTTAATGTTTATAAACTACTAGCTTTTGCTCGCGACTCCTGCATCGATCGAAGATGTATGGATTGTGTGAAAGAGGATATGCTGAAAGGAGTGTATTCAGATATGACGATAGAGATGTATGGAAGAGCACAACTGTGCCGACCCTTAAGGGATAAGGGCAAGTTGATGATGTTACTAGAAAAATTATCTTTCTAACGGTGAAAGAATTTTTATAATCGTCCCAATAGTTTTTGATTTTAATACATACAAACATACGATAGTACGAATTTTTTCTCTTTATAATAGGTTGTTCGGAAAGTCATTTCGTTTTTTTGGGGAACATGAAAGACAGTTTATGAACATAATCTAAAGACATGGCCATAAACAGTCGAATTCGACAAATTTAAACTCTCACCGTTATTCGCCGATTTGCATTAACGAATGCTTTACCGCATCTTTGTCAGCTTCGACCGGCCTTCCAGACCGTGTTGCATCTTCGACATCAAAATTACCGGATTTAGCAAACCAGTTCGGGCACTGGTGTACTGTTAACACGCCTTCTCCATACACATCCGTCAAATTTTTCTTGCTTGGACAGTTTACCTTTTCTGAAGTATAAAAGTAAAATATGACGAAAATGCTGCTTATTATTGTGTAGAATTAATAGAACTTTTAAACACATAAGCCTTGCAATATAAGCTCTCAAGACATATAATGGTTATGCGGCTTAAGTGTGAAGTTGGTTTCGAAAAAACGTAATTAAGTCCTCTGACTGAAGTACATTTTGTGACTGTTATTTTATACTTAGTGGTTATGTGTCTTTGAAATGTGTTCTAACACTAACTTGTAACTTGTAACTTGTCGTTGTGCGATATACTTAAAGGTGCGCGCTTCTATTCTGTGAGTAACATAGGCTATATTTTTTTGGCATCATCCGCATCGCATCCAGTTAGATCTCGTGCTGGTTCGGATGTCAGGAGAACCCCTCCTGCGTTTGTGACCCAGCACGGGATGAAACCGAGCTACGTATACTCATGGAATCAACTAAAATTATTATTTTCTTACCTAATTTAGAGGACAATTCTAGTATTGATTATAGTGTAGAGAATTTAGCGATGACAGAAATAATAGCGAAATCCAATTCGATTACGTACGGCGTAGTAGTAATAAACATTTATTTACTCTCATTATTTGTTATGGTCATTATTAATATGAGAAAACGGTGTTTTTTTATTTCATAAGTTATAACTATAAATCTATCGATTCTAACTTCTATATGAATAAAAATCGAAAATCGATAAGATTCATGACTGATTTTACACAACCCATCCCTACTAAATTTGAAATGAATTGTCAAACTAATCTAAATTATTTAGACACACTATAGTTGAGCAACTAAACAGTTGACTGCAAACAATCGACAGTCTCAGAGCAGTGCGATTGTCAATTGTTTCTTCGGTTTTGTTTACAAAAATAAAACATTCATATATTTTAGGAAACTATCATTTATTGAGAATGTTGTGGTCGAGTGTCAGCGGTGTTCAAATGCGCGCGCGGATCCAGGCGTTGAAGGAGGTGACGCGAGCGAAGCCGGCGGGCAGGTTCTGTTGGCAGCCGCGCGGGGAACCGAACGAGGTGATTCCAATCTGCAAGACAAGAATAATGTATAAGACAATAAGTTATGATGTTACATTTTTTTATAAGGTGACGATAGTCCATAGACGTCCGCAATAGGCAATATGCATATAACGCCAAATTGGACCATTTTTTTTAATTCTGATTTATTACTATAAAAACATAAATGTAAAGGTTTTTTTTAATATAATGCGATTTAGTGGAAAATTTTATCGTTAAAAAATACACTTTATTTTTTAAATTCCCTCTTTTAATTCTAAAACACAACGCTATTGGTCGAAGAAAGTGGCAGATCTAATATGGCGTCGCTGTGTTGTCAAAACACAATTCATTTACGTTTGTTTATATAGAAATACACTCTTGAAGTATTTTACTGTAAACGCGATATCAAAACCAACTTTAAAATAAAAAAAATAATGAATAGAATTATTAATTACCACTTATTTGTACCAGGAGTAATATAAAAATTAATCGATTTTCGACTTTTTGACCTTGAGAACCTACTTACTACTGATACTGACTAGAGATACTTTGTTGTTTTTTACATCGAATGTGATGAATGAAATGAATGAAATACAATAAAAATGACGATTGACGTCACGTGTCTCATACCAACTTTGGTCGAGTTTTAGTCGCACGAAAATGATCGTAATTTTATTTTATTATTTCTAGCTCATTGGTAGAATATTTTCGAGTTATTTTTTCTGGTTATTTTAAAACAAGTAGAATCGTTTAAAAAAAGCAAAATGTATATATGCATGTTCCCTATTGCAGTGTTGCCTTAATCGATGGAGGAGATACACATAAAAAGGATACTTCCCCTTCCTATTCATCTCTACCGTTAAATCCAATTTTCTTTCATCCTTCCCACTTAAGAAAAAGGTGGAAATGGACTAAAAGGCCTTCACAGATATTAAACAGTACACGGAATTGCTTCCACTTCACATCTATCTTGTGTGGTATTGGAGCCCTACAGTGCGAAGATGTTAAAGCGGGCTCTATCACTATGAAGGTACTCACAAGCACGTTGTTGGCGACGAGTGGGCCGCCGGAGTCTCCGCCGCAGGTGCTGACGCGGTTGGCGCCGCTCACACAAATGGTGGAGGCAACAACGATGGAAGATCCGAATGTGTTTCTGCAGACTGCGTTGGTGATGACCTGCAGGCGAGCGTGCGAGAGCGCCTGGTTGCTACCAATATTATGACCTGTACAAGACATGCAAGAGAAAGATATAGAGAAAATAAAAAAATGAGGCCAACCTGCAAGCATTACCTTTCGGATAAAAAAAGAATTATCAAAATCGGTCCACTAGCGGCGGAGTTGTGCCGTAACACACATAAAAAAACATACAGACGAATTGAGTACCTCCTTCTTTTGGAAAGTCGGTCAAAAAGGGAGGAAAGGAGACAACATGTGGCAGAAATGAGAATGTTAAGATGGATGTGTGGGGTAACACGAATGGATAAGATACGAAATGAGTATATTAGAGGAAGTTTGAGAGTTGCTCCAATGGTAAAGAAGGTAAGGAGTAAAAGGTTAGCATATGGGCATGTTATGAGGAGGGATGAATCACATGTTACAAAAATGTTAGTTGTGAGTACATCGGTAGAGGTAGACATAGAAAGAGTTGGATTGTGTGAAAGGTGACATGATCAAGAAAGGAGTGACTGAGATGACGGATGATAGAGTTATGTGGAGGACAAAAACCTGCGCCCTACGGGAGTCGGATAAGGAGGATTATGATGCAAATTGGTAAATCCTCACCGTCGCCAGTAGCGCCGAAGCCAGCGGCCCACGCCCATGTGCCAGCGAAGTCATTGCTGCCCGACGCCAGGCCGATGTTACGAATGGTGTCTGAAACAATCAAATGCCAGCTTACAAACAGTTACTAATAAAAAAGTACATGTCTATTTTAGTTTCGAGCAGTTACAAGTCACAATATTCTACACTAGCTTTTGCCCCCGGCTCCGGCTACGTATAATTAAAAAAAAAATGCCAAATTTCATTCAGACCCGTTAAGCCGTTTATTTTACAAACTCAAACAAACATCCATCCGTCTAAACTTTCGCATATTAGTATTAAGTATGATTGAATGCTCGTTATCTTTATCTATTCTAATGTTATAAAGACGAAAGATTGCTTTTTGGATTTTTGTATGTATTGAAATAACTAATGGGCCAATTACAAAAATTCTTACACCATTAAAAAGATAAGTTATCAGCGAGTAATATGTACTATATGTTTCGGCTTGGACGGAGTCGCGAGCAATAGCTAGACTATTATAAGTTGACTGTATAGTATCGATACTCACTGCTGTAGTTGACCCAGGGGATGACGATAATGGCGACGTCATTGTTAGCGTTGTTGGGGTTCCAGCTTCCGTGCATCTGCACGTTGTTGGTGTTAAGGCGGGTGCCGCCGGAGAAGAGCCGGATGGAGCCGAGCACGACGGTGAACTGTCTCGCCCGGTTGCGGCCATCCCACCAGCAGTGGGCGGCGGTTACCAGCCGGGTGTTGGACAGCAGAGAGGAGCCGCAGACGGAGGTGCCACCTGTTGTTAGGGTGATGACCAAACCGCCCTATAAGAGAAAGAGGGGAAACCTAAGTTGATGAAGGAAGAGTTATACATAAGAAAGACATATCCCCTTCCTATGCGTCTCCTCGACTGTCAAATCCACTTCCCTTCCCTTTACATCTTTCCCTTATAAGAAAAGGGTGGAAAGAGACTTTAATTGGGCCTCCGGTACACTCATTAGACAAAACGCGAAATTGCTCCCTCTTCACGCTTGTCTTCTGTATGGTCGTGGTATTTTACCGGGCGAGCCCTACAGTGTGAAGATGTTAAAGCGGGCTCTACCAGCTCTACCACGATATCTTCAACAGGTTATTCACGTCCATCTAAATTCATTTTCAAAATTAAGCATACCATGTAAGGGTAAGCGCCAAGAGCGGCAGTTGATCCTCCCGTGATTCTGCTGCCATCGAAGTCAGCGGCCAACTCAGCCTGTCTGATCTGCTCCGCGCGTTGGATACCGATGTTCTCATGGTAGTGGAGAACAATCGGCTCCTCCGCAGCCACCAGCGCCACCAAGCAGGCTACAGCAACAACTAACAGCTTCATTATTTACTTTTAAGGATACTGGGCATTAACAGTCATAGCTTTTATACTAATCAAAAATGTCACAAACGAGATTAAGGTAATTTGTCATGATTAGAAACACGTCAGTAATTTTGACGGATAATTGGTCTGAGTTATCACAGGAAGCGATAGTAAACCTCACGTTGCGATCAGAAATAATTCTAATCGATAGAGAAATCTTATAAATATAAACTTGTCGGAGCGAACGAGCGTTTTGTAAAATTCAATACCGAAGGTAGATCATGTACACGGTAACGATTTCTTTTTTTTGACCGACTTCCCAAAAGAAGGAGGTACTCAATTCGTCTGTATGTTTTTATAATATAAGGTGGCAAACGAGCAAGTGGCCACCTGAATCCACCGAAATGGATAGCGTCCGCTGCCCATAAACATTCACAATTACAAATGCGTTGCCTGTTATTAATTGACGGAATAGGAGACGCACATAAAGAGGACATATCCCCTTCCTATGCGGCTCCTCCATCGTCAAATCCACTTTTCCTTCCTATCCTTTCCTCTTTAGAACAGGGTGGAAAGGGAAAGGAACTAAAATTAGGCCTCTGGCACCACACTCATAAAAAAATAGAAAGGGAAATATCCTCTTCATGTGCGTCTCCTCCTCCGTCGGATAAGGGTAGACAACGCATCTGTAATTGTGGATGTTTATGGGCAGCGGACGCTATCCATTTCGGTGGATTCAGGTGGCCACTTGCTCGTTTGCCACCTTATATTATAAAAAACATTAAATTATTAGTTGCCAGTTTAATCGTTCGAATAGTTTCAATAATTTCGCCCCGTATAACTTCAAAAAATAATATGTTCCCTTCCCATCAGAGCCCAAAACCTCTACAACAGACCTTTGATAACTTAAAACCTCTATAACTTAAAATATTTGATGTTTCCCTTGGACTTTAACTTATCGAGGAACTACTGTATATACAACAAAGCATAGGCACAATTTTCCTTTTATTTTAAATGACCATGATTAGAGTCTGCCTGAAAATATCGCACGACTGTTTAGACTCGCTTCCTATCAGCTTATATGGAGGTACACTCGATGTTTAGTTGTGACTAAACAGTTGAGGACAACGGAACAATCGACAATCGCACAACATCTTACTAATATTATAAATGCGAAAGTTCAGATGGATGGATGTTTATTAGCATGTTAGCGTTTGTAGCCTAAACAGCTGAACGGATCTCCATTAAATTTGGCACAGGTTTAGAGCATAGTCTGGAAGAACACATAGGCTACTTTTTATCCCGGGAATAGTTACGGTTCATTAATTTAGTTTTTTAATGTTTACTCGATCATTCTGCAGCGGTTCAACATATCTTATTGAAATTTGGCACAGATATAAAACAAAGTCTGGAGTACACATGGGATAAGCTTCATCCCCGAGAAATCTCCGGTTCCCGATGGATACGTAGCTTTTTGTAATTTATATAGTTTGTATGTTTTCTAATATCACGCGGACGAAGTCGCGGCCAACAGCTCGTTAATAATAGAATTAAGATAAAACATAGATATTTTATTTGCCCTTGTTCTGATGTTAACATTTTACTTTACTGTTCTACTGGGTAGGGAATTAAATTCTTTGACTGTTGCAGTAATGACAAAGCCGCGGTGAAGACTAGAATTTGGCCTTTGAATATAAATCATATTTATAATCCGTTTAAAAATGATAAACTACTTTTTTTAAATTTATGACTTCAGTAATTTGGGTATTTCCCAAGATTAGTGAAAAAATATGTTAACACTAGCCTTCGTCAGCGATTCCGTCTGAATGGAATTGAATAAAACAAAAGTGAGTAGCCTATGTGTTCTTCCAGACTATCCTCTACATCTATGCCAAATTTAATTGAGATCCGTTCAGCCCAAGTAAGGTGATTGAAGGTCTGTATGGAGATATTTTATACACTAGTATAGTTCTCTGACGCGGACGTGATACAATTTTATCTTTGATATTAATGTATCATTGTGTTCTTATCTTTACTATTATAATAAAGCGTAAACACACACTTCTTTGTTACCTTACATGTCAGCAATTACAGAATATTTTTGAATAATTATTTTTTTAATTAAAAGCCCTACACTTACGTCACGCTTTAGGCTATATATTTTCACGCTGTTAAATATTTTGGATAAGAACATTAATGTGGGAAAGAGACTAAAAGTTGCTGCCAACATCAAGGAAGCAAGATTGCCATGCTTTATCATGTCATGTCATTTTGACATTTGTTATTGATAATTGGACAAAAGTAAACAATAAAATAAAATTTTCATAATTTCATGCGGATGAAGCCGCAGGGGAACAGCTAGTCATAAATATTTACTATCTTTAAAGTGTTTAGAAGGTGAAGGAACAAAATCGTTACAATTTTGTTAGCGCACATGTTTCTTATATAAATATAATTAGAAGCTATTTAAATACGTGTTCTGAGAAACCAAACTATCGCACAACTGTTTTGTCTCGCTTTGTTATCTATATCTGTACTAATATTATAAAGAGGAAAGATTTGTATTTTTTTATGTATTGAAATAACTCAAAAACTACTGGACCGATTTTAAAAATTTCATTTCCGTCAGAAAGATAATTTATCTATGAGTAACATAGGCTATATTTTATTATTACTAATGTTTAGGAACTAATAAACAGCGTGTTTCTGGACGCCGGCGTTAAAATTCACTAAACTTTAATTTTCCTCGGCTTACGCTGCCTAAACCATTAGAGGTATATAAAAATGATGTATGAAAGAATTGTAGATCTCAAAAAGTTCTACAGAAAAGTCTACGATAGCATTTACCTATCTTTAACGGTTTTCTTACATTAACCACTTTTTTGCTTACAAAATGAATTAAAAACCGCACGCTATTTGCAGCGTTCTTTTATTGGTTTCAATATTAATCCTTATCCAAATGAGTGCATTTGTTATCAGAAGAATTTAATGTAGAATAAAATTGTCTTTTACAGTATTTAAATTGGACTAATAGTTTAGAAGATATCGCGAACACAAACAATAAAGGTAACCGAAAAATCAGCTTACAAACTACCGGGCTTGGGAATTTGGTTTGGCATCGGTAGATTTCTGTTATTACGTAGATTACTACTAAGTTAATACTTTAGGTAATAGGTTGAAAAAAGGATGAACGTAAGTTTTGAACTTTCAAATTTCAAGTGGACAAAGTCGCGGGCAACAGTTAGTGTAGAAACGAACTGTGTGAAATCTTTGTTACTATCCATAATATTGTAGATAATGCTCTACTGAAATATTAACCCACTACCCCTGGGGATGTTAGCTCCCAGGGGCCGGACCATCCCTCGGGGTAGCTAATAGATTTAACATCCATTTGTTTACGTTGTTACTGATTTAGGGTAAGCAGAGGGATTTAAAAAAGAACATCTTTATGATTAACACGAGAGAATCAACGACTTTTTATCCGTTAGTTTTTTCCTACGAATCCGTCTTCGTGCAATTAAAAAATCAAACGTAAGTAGCTTATTTATTCTTCCACACTATTTTCTACATCTGTGACGATTTTAATTAAGATCCGTTCAGTTGTTTAGGCTACAAACTCTAACAAACATCCATCTAAACTTTCACATGTATAACTCAGTAGAACCTCGATAACTCAAACCTCAGTAACTTAAAAACCTCTAAAACTTCAAAAAATAAATGTTCCCTTCCCATCAGAGCCCAAAACCTACAACATAGACCCTTGATAACTTAAAACCTCTATAACTTAAAATATTTGGTGTTTCCCTTGGACTTTAACTTATAGAGGTTGGGAAGGGAACATATTTTTTTTGAAGTTATAGAGGTTTTTAAGTTACCGATGTTTGAGTTATCGAGGTTCTCCTGTATTACTAGCTTTCGCGCGACTCCGTCCGCGTGGAATTAAAAAAGTGAGTAACCTATGTATTCTTCCTATCGTTATTCCATACCGAATTTCATCGAAATCCGTTCAGCCGTTTAGGTTACAAACTCTAACAAACATCTATCTAAACTTTCGCATTTATAATATTAGTATGAAACGGAATAATTTATGCGTTTACACGCGTGATATTTTTTCGTTATTTACAAATTCAAATCGTGAACAAAAAACAATTCATAACGATTATGTAAATACGGCAACGTCGCATTCTTGTTCAACGACGCCGGCCATTGTTGCCAATTTTATGGCAAATGTCGTGTACTCCTGCAACTCATAACTACGACCTAAAGCCGCAAACTAAAGGCCGAAGATTCCACGCTTTTGAAGATTTAGAATAATTAATTTTTCTTTGACAATTTTTTTGAATGAAAACGACTCGTTGATTACTCCCCACCTGTGCTATTGCTATGTTCCGGCTGAGATTTCTGCAACATCATTGTAAAGTCTGTCGGTACAATACAGATTAAAATTAGACCGTACCTGACATTGATGGGTTCTAACGACATGCATTTTTGCTTATTCTCTTCTGCTCTTTTAACCTTTCGTACTGTCGTTATTCCAATCCCTTCCAACTTTGCCATTTTTGTATTTGTCAGTCATTAAAGTGGTAAGAAAACAAGAAAAAGTATTATTTTCCAAACATATAACAAGCCTAGAGATTAGTTGGAATGGTAAAAAGAAATACTAGTAAATCAACAAAAATCTAATTGTATTTTTTTATTAAAAGAAACTATTTTTATTACAGTGCCATCTATCGGCGGATGTCGGTACTAATGTAAACTTGTAATTAACACAATCACTAGTTGATGATAAAATAAAGCCATACTTCTGCAACTGGACATTAGTGTGTTAATTCTCTACTTTTACGAACTTGTACGCGCTATTCACTCTTTTATTTAGAACGTGTGTGAAAAGGATAGAAAATTTCATAAAAACAAGTGCATGAGGCACAAAAGGGTTAGATGTCAAGTGACCAGGGGGCAGAGGGCAGGGGGCAGGGCTTAGCGGACACTCCCCTCTATTTCAAATATTTAACAGAACAAAAG